AACATTAACATTAAAAATGGATGAATGCTGAATACATCTATGATGCCTGTGTGTTCGTAATGCAGAAATGTAGTACAGATAAGATATTTTTCTTTTCAGTGTAGGTCAGATGAGGCACAAGCTAATTTTGGGAGTGAGACTTGTGGTCTGAACAAAGACTCCAGGCAGCACCCTGACCTGCCAAAACTGCAAGAAACATGGGCATTGCATCAGCTTTTACAAGGGCATACCATGAACTCAGTGCCTCCCTCCCTTGTGGGTGGTGCTAGATGGAGAGCTGGAGTAGTGGTCCTGCACCTTTTTGTCTCTTACAGGCAGTGTAACCTTGCTGCTGCTGTTAACCTTGCAGATGTCTTACCATCCAATGATCAGATCATATCCAATTTCTGTGCAAGTCAAAGGGAAAATATGCAAGTTTCAGCCACTAGTTCTGGCATGACATGAGAACAAAAGGTGCAAGTAAAACGTAGGTTAAAAAAAAGTACACTTTGGCTACTCTATAAGCAGTCTTCCAAAACTCACATATGTGATAGGGAATATTACCACTTCACAGTTTGAGTGTTCAGTTCCCAAGATCTTCATATTCTGATGCAGAATCTCACTGGAGCAAGGCAACGGTTAGCCACCAAGAAATCAAAGAAAAAAATATGCTACGTCTTTCATTCAGCACACAAAAGAATATCCTGTTTAAAAAGGAATTGGCTATGGAAAGAGCTTTCTTCCCTTGGCTGTGCACAAAAGTGGAGATTAAAGAATGGCAAGGTTTGGCAAGATTTTATGTCCTTCACAAGCACCTTATACAGATCTGTTTCTAGTGCTGCCCAGTAACAGATATGTTCCTATATTCCATTTGTCAAATAACACTGCATATGTTTAAAGCCTGGCTAAAGAGCAAACTTCAGTGAGCTGAAAGAATCATACAAAAAGTGGAAAATTGGCTATCTTACTAGGGATCACTATAAGAGTGTCACATGGGCATGTAGGTTGAAAATCAGGAAGAACAAGGCACGATTTGAGATGTAACTAGCAATGGATGTAAAAGGCAATAAAAAAGATTTTTTCAAATATGTCAGAAGTAAAAGAAAAAACAGAAAAGTGTAGGTCCCTTAGTGCAGCGGTTCTTAACTGGGGGCCTGCGAGCAGGTTTCAGGGGGTCCACCTGGCCTGGCCCGGCCCAGGAGCTGCACTGGCCCCCCAGGATTGAGGCGAGTCCAGACCTGCCTGGTGCCACAGCCTCCATTTTGTGAACAGCGCTACGGGTGGGTGGGCAAGGCTCCACACTGCTGCTGCTCAGGTGAGTGGGGCCCTGGGGTTCCCCGCTGCCAAGCCTTGCTTGCTGCACCCAGGGCCGTGTGGGGAGGGCTGCAGAGCTAGTCTGGTCCTCATGAAGAAAAAGGCTGAGAACCCCTGCCTTAGTGAATGGGGAAGACAATCTAGTAACAGCTGATGCAGAGAAGGCTGGAGTATTGATGCCACTTTTTATTTCATTCTTCGTGAATAAGGTCAGATGATGAGTGCAGCTGGCAGTACAGACAGGGAAGGAGATAATCAGCCTGGAGCAGGAGAACAGATTAGAAATTACTTAAAGAAGCTGGACATTTTCAAGTCAGCAGGGCCAGATGAGATGCAACCTAGAATACTCAAGGAATTGGTGGAGGTATTTGCAGAGCTACTGACTATTCTCTTGAGAAGGCATGGAGTTTAGCTGAGGCCCAGGACAACAGGAAAAGGGTAAACGTAGTACCTATCTTCAAGAAAGTGAAAAAGCATGATCCTGGAAATTACAGACCAGTCCGTCTGATCTAGATACTTGGAAAGACTATGGGGCATGACATCAAGGAATCTATTTTTAAGCATCTAGAGGAAAGCAAGGTGATCAGGGACAAACAGTGTGGATTCATCAAGAACAGGTCATGCTTGACCAACCTGACTTCCTTTTAAAACAAGATGATTAGGTTTGTGAATCAGGGAGAACTGTGAATATGATATGTGTTGACTTTAACAAAGTTTTCAATTTGTCTCCTACTACATTCTCATTAGTAAGTAATGGAAATAGAGTCTAGACAAAAGAATTGTAAGGCGGATACATAACTGATTGGATCACCATGCTCAAAGAGTAGTCATAAATGGCTCAATGTCCAATTGGGAGGCGATACCAAGTGAAGTTCATCAGCTGTCAGTCCTGGGTCCCAGCTGCCTAACAGCTTCATTAATGATTTGGAGGACGGGACTGAGTGCACAGCTGGCAAATTTGAAGATGACAACAAGCTGGGTAGAGCTATAGACACTTTGGAGGATAGGATTAGGATTCAGAATGATGTTGGTAAACTGGAAACATACGCTGAAGTTAACCAAATAAAATTTAATAGAGACAAGTGCAAGGCATTTTAGAATGGAACCATCACATGCACAAATGCAGACTAGGGAATGACTAGCTAGGGTGCTTTACTGCAGAAAAGGACTTGAGGGTTATTTTCAGCTAACAGTTCACTGTAAGTCAACAGTGTGCTCTTGTTGTAAAAAAGCAACATTTGTGTTAACAGGAGCATCACTTGTAAGTCACAGGAAATTATTTCTTCTCTCTTCAGCACAGGTGAGACCTCACCCACCCATAACCAAACAGAAATTAAGTGCACATAGACTAATTTAAAAATAGCAGAACCCAGTCTAAGATAGACATGGATCGATGTGGTATCAGACTTAAGTGATTTAGGTTAGACCGGTCTATCAAATTTCTATGCCACATCCTCTACAAACTCTAGTTAGTTTGCAGCCTGTCAGCATCCCAGGCTGCTTTGCAGCCCTTCTCCACTTGCTAACCCTCCCTTATAGGGAGGTGTGCTGAAACTTGACTCGTGTTCAGCTGCTTACTTACCTCCAAGCTATCACAGAGCTGAGGCAACCCTGTCCGGGGTGGGGGTGGGAAGGAGAGTCTGTAGCTCAGTATTTTTCTATCTTTATGCAGTGCCTCTAAGTGGGGGTGGGGGTGCAGGGAGGGACTGCTCTGCAGAAGGAAGAATTGGGCCCCTTGCAGCTCTGGCGAACATCCTTTCAGAAGGAGGGTAGGGAACGAGGAATCTGCATGCTGCTGCTGTGGTCTCCAGCCAGCTGCCCTTCCAGTGAAACAGCATCTCACAGCTCCTAACATGTCTACAGGCACCTTTAGATCACTTCTGCCTTCATATTTTTGAGTATCTGTACTTAGACCTGGAGCCCTGTGTCTGGTTCTGGGTGCCACATTTTAAGAAAGAAATGAACAAATTCAAGAGTCCAGCAGAGAACAACAAAAATTCTTAGAGGTCTAGAAGAGAAGTCAGCAACCTGCTACAAATGGCAGGCTGCATTAATGCAGTTCTACCAAAGGCAGGCTGCTTCTTGCGAGTCAGCTGTTGCTGCCAATTGCCTTGGCTGCTGGACCATGTGTTGACTCCTGCCTGGAAAACAACCTACTGGGAAAGTGGGAAGAACTGAGATTACTTAGTCTGGAGAAGAAAAGACGGAAGGAGAAATTGATAGCAGTCTTCAAATACCTGAAAGGGGGAGAGAGGGTTATAGATAGGATGATGATAGGCTGTTCTCTGTGGCTACAGGGAACAGGAAAAGAAGTAACAGCCTCAATTGCAGCAAGGGAAATGTAGGTTGGATATTAGGAAGAACTTTCTAACTATGAGGGTGGTTAAGCACTGGAACAGATTACCGATTGAGGCTGTAGAACCATTCTTGGGGGCTAGACAAACACTAGACTGGAATGGTATAGACAGGGATGATCCTGCCTCAGGAAGGGGGCTGGACAAGATGACCTCTTGATTAAGGTTCCTTCTACCCCTATAATTCTAATTCCCTGATCTCCCACTTAGTCCTGATTTGCATGTCTTCTGATTTCCTATATGAGATCTTCCTCCATGACGATTCTTAGCAGATACTTAAGAATGCATTTCATTATGGGAAAAGAATAGACCCATATGGGGTAAAACAGTTCTCTTTCAAACTGACCATAGATAAAGCCTTGCTACTCAACATGTCAAATAAAGGCAGATTCCCAGTAGATTATGCAGATACATAGACTGTGATTGTGCATGCTGTCTAGACTCTCTGGGCTTTTCTTACCCTGATCCAGAAAATCTGTTTTGTTCCTTCAGCTGGGATCAGATACATGGCTCTGCTCCTCCAGTTTGTCTTTTGTGACCAGAAAAAAGTAGCTGGATTTACCAAGTATCATTCATTTGTAGCACTGCTAGAAGGAGATGTCACTCCTAGTGCTTTCTTTATGCTTTATCCCTGACATTATCATCGATTGTTATTTTAGTTATCATTATTATCATTATTAATATATTGAGATTAGGCCCTTGTATGATGAAAATAGTTTGTAGTTTTCTACAAGTAGGAGTAGATGGCAATACTGTTATGCATTATTCTTCTACCATTATGCATTATTCTTCTTCAGACTAGCTTTAGCAGTTCTTCAGCTTTTCATTCCTTTAATTACTTGGTAAAGTGAGATCCTCTCCGTCTAATTCTTTACTACTTGATTCACAGACTTGTTTAGTTTTGTGAAGCATGTCACTGATGTTTCACTGACAGCAGTTGTGTGCCACTGTGCATTCCATTCAGTAAGCCAATACAGGCTATGTTCAGTGAGCCAAATCCTGGTTCCACTGGAGTTGCAAGGATTTTTATTTGGGAAATGGGTAGAGGAGAATATCCATAGGCTTCTAAGCCACTGAGACTGGATACTAGCTTCTAAAGCCAGCTCAGCCTGCAATGTAAAATCAAAATTAAACAACAAATATTGGCATACATAGGAAAAAAATGCTCATGTAATTCAAATCCCAACAACTTGTGTGTTCTGCTATTCCATATCCTGGTCTTGTTTCTTTCTCCAAATTAGAGCTGTGTATCTCAGCAACTTTTAGTAAGAGATCATTTAATTAGGGTCTTTCCAGTAGCATGCACAATTAATGTAACCTGTAATATCTCAAACAAAGCCACTAGTATGTTACCTGGAGAGGTACGGAAGCGACACTGTCCAGTCATTGGGTCATACTCCTGGTTGTCATCAGAACACAAACACAAGAAGGAACCTTCTACATTGTCACAAAGGGCTTCACCACATACGCCACTCAGCATTTCACATTCGTTCACATCTGGAAAAGAAAACACATGTGGATTCAGACATGTTCTTCATCAAGGACAGGTTTTTTTTTACTTGCTGTATCTGTGCCAATGTTGCCCGCAGGAAAACAGAAATGACTGCTGAGGAAGGATTAAAAGCTGACTACTACTTAAGGAAATTAGTTAACCCCTATGAGATAAAGTTAATTGAAAAGTCATACTAAAATAATAAAATGCTGGTGTTGATTTAACTGTAGACCAGAGCACAGCTGTAACATGGGGTGGTGTGACTGGTGCATTTGTGCAGGGTGTAAGGTTAGTATGGGGTGCAATCTAAGGTGCTGGCCAGCCTATTAAGGTATGGCTGGCACTGGAAGCAGTTTAGCAGTTTTATTGTATTGCTGTGAATAGGTTACTTTGCTCTGTTGAGAGATGTGTACGTGTGTGGGCGTGTGCACGCATGCATGCTGGTGGTGGTGGACTTCTAAACTCCCACACAAAGCAAAAACCTCACAGTACAGCTCTACACCCGTCCTTTATTTATTTATTTATTTATCCTCTCCCCCCACCAACATATCGGTTGCCACCCTTATACCTTACAGTGTAAGGTACTACTGGATCCTATTATACTAATGTTACTATTGTCAGATAGCAAGAAGCATTCAGTATTCATTTGTTCATGTTATTTAAAAGCTACTGTAGCAAAACATTTTGCCTTTACTGATTCAAAACTCACTGACATCCATGAGTGAAAATGCAGGGTTGTTGGCTGTAGCTGTGTTGGTCTAAGGACATAGGCAGACGAGGTTATTTCGGTAGATGTGGTATCTTTTATTAGATCAACTAAACAGTCAGAAAAAAATGTTCTCTGCAAGCTTTTGGGCATAAATGCCCCTCTTCAAACCACACCAAATGGATCCTGACCATGCCAGGACAAGACATGTAAAGCTGGCATGTCTCAGGTTTTACAAAAAACTCATCTCATTTCCACCACTCCCACAATAACTACATCCCACAACAGAACCATCACCATTCCTGTATTTTACACTTGCACCTCCAGAAATGTAGTATCTCTCATCCAGTGCACCAAATGCCCGATGGAAAATATGTAGGAGAAACCAAACAACAACTGTGCCCCGGAATGAACGCACACCAAAAATCCATCAAAGACAAAAATATACAATTATCTGTGGGTGCCCACTTCTCACAAGACAATCACTCTCTCTCTGATCTCTCAGTTCTAATGCTCAAAGGGAACTTACAAAACACCTTTTGTAGATGAGCCTATGAACTTCACTTCATAAATCTACTGGATACAAAAAATCATGGACTAAAAGTAGACACTGGATTTATGACACATTACAACCTGCCTGCCATCTGATAACCCCAGGTAACCTGCCTGCAGCTGACCACTTACGCTCCTTCACACACTTCCCTCCGTTCCCCCCCGCCATCTCTACCTACTGTCTTTCAAACTTCTACTCATTTGCATGTTCAAAGACCTGTATGTTGTAAATTAGCTTCTTTTCTACCTTGGAGAACACATATGGCCAGCAGAGTCACCCAATGCCTAAAGAAGGGTGTTTGGGCCCGAAAACTTGCAAAGAAAATTTTTTCCAACTATTTAGTTGGTTTAATAAAAGATATCACAGCTACCCAAAGAACCATGAGTGAAAATGGTGAGTGATGGCAGGATTTGGACTGCGATATCCTGAAAGTATTCTCTTCTCCATGCCCAGCCCTCCCTTCCCTGAAATCCCAGGTGTCTGGGGAGTACCCCTTGGGTGCATCTACACATGGCCGTATGGCAACGTTGCTATGTTGCCGTGCTTTTGTGCTTCCTTTTGGGTGGTTACTGCATTGTGCACACAGCGCACTGTTAGATTTACTGTGTTGTGTGCACAGTGCAATTAGATTTTGCCGCTACGTCACTGTAGCAGTACAACGCTGGAGCACGCTGCTACAGCGACGTAGCTGGTGATCATGTGTAGACCCACATGATTGCTATGTCACCACAGTGTGCCATACAGCGATGTAGCGTATGGCTACATCACTGTACAGCAACATGTAGATGTGCCCTTTGAGTCTTATGAACTCGTTTTGGTCATATTCCTCTCTCCTGTAAGGCTTCATTGGGTGCTCTGGAGCCCAAAAACGGTATTCCTGTATCACCTAGTGAAGTCCTTGCGGAAAAATGCAAGTCTCTTTTTCCACATTAGAAATCATACAGTAGTCTCAACTACTATTGGCTTGGGACAAAAAGCATCCTACAAGCCCTACACTTGGATTCCTAAATTCCTGAATGAGACCACTATAAAATCTTATTTGACAGGAAAACTGTCTGTGGTTTAAATCAGGGGTGGCCAACTGTAACATATGCTATAAGTGATGTGGGCAACCTGTGTGTGGCATGCAACAGGTCAGGGCAGGGACAAAGCATAATGGCAGGTAGGGCAGGAAGCAGAAAACAGAGTGGAAAATGGGACAGCGAGCACAGGGAAGAAAGTAAAAAGCACAGCAGAAGATTGGGCAGGGAATATAGGGCAGGAATCAGAAAGAGAAACAGCCTATTGCACAGGGGAAGGGGATGGGAATGACACTTGGGGAGGCTACAGGGCTAAGTTGTAGAGGTGCAAGGATACATTGGTCTAATATTGGATAGGTACCAATATAAAGACAGCTGGCTGTATCAAATATCGGTCTGATGGGGCCAATAATTTGGCCAATAAATGCCCATGCTGCATGCAGCTGCAGTGCAGCACTCAGGCAGTGAGGAGCACAGCTGGCAGCATGGAGAGTTGCCTTCGGCTGCTAAGTCTGGTGAGGTGGAAGGAGAGTGGGGACGAACCTGGGGGAGGGCAGATCACCGCCCCCCACAGTGAGGGAGGGGGCAGGGACAGGGGCAAACACTGCCCAGGTGGGGCGGGGGGTGGAGCT